GGCGTGTGGGGTTGGAGCCTATTTTTCGTATTTGGTAGTGATTAAGTATACGGAGAATTTCGTCCGAAGATAAACGAAATGTGTGGTCAATATCGCTATTTACTTTTATTTATATTATTTATTTATATTGACTTTATACAATAATACACTAATGAAAATTATTACATAGGCAAAATATGCTCTCGAAGACCTCAAAGGCGGATTATACAATGCACTGCCTCGAAGACGAGATAATACAGTGTACTGCATGCTGCATCCATAACGGATTGATCGGCGACAAACCCTTTCTCCTTTCTCCTTTATTCTTGAAATCTATTTCCTTAATGTCATTGGTCATCACTGGTAAGATCAAGTGACAGCTGTTGATCTTTACAAATCTATGCCATCGTGTTTTAACGTTTTGTTTTCTGCCTTCTATAATTTTCATGGCAGGTTACTAAGCGAAATACAACCACAATGTTGCTGAGATATTTGCAAAACTCTGGACCGCAAGTGTCTATGGTGGGAAACGAACGCGCTATTGTCCTTTCCGGGGTGCAAGGCGTTCACCACCACACCATGCGGGTCCTTCGTTTCGCCTGTCTCTCAGCTAGTTCTATCGATCTTTGCCACAGCAATCACCCGTCAGCGGGATTGACCTGGGGCGCCCAAATCGGCATAGAACCCAGTTAAGCTGCGGCTATAGTTGAAATGTTATACCTTTTTGTTTTCTGCCTACTATAACTTCGCGGCAGGGTACTAAGCGAAATAGCGCGTTCGTTCCCCACCATAGACACCTGCGGTCCAGAGTTTTGCAAATATCTCAGCAACGTTGTGGTTGTATTTCGCTTAGTACCCTTCCGCGAAATTATAGTAGGCAGAAAACAAAAAGGTATAACATATTTTAAAACAGTTTGAAATATTATCTCCCAGCGACCATAGTGGATCTTTGCCCCATAGAAAAGAATTGCTTAAGGGATAACCACAGATTTTGCGGTTTTTTAAAGGATTAGAGGAAAACTCTCAACGTTGACAAACCGTGCGTTCGACTTCATTTAAGATCGTTAGTGGTGATTAAATGAATAATTGACTTATGCATGACTTGGTCTACCGATCTATCGAGTTAATGCTGCTATCTTCCCGGACAGTTCTGGTAATAATTTACCCATCCTGGAGGGATGGAAGGCTTGGTGAACCTAGGGCGCCGGATCGATCCCATCTGTATTACACTGCGTCTCTAACCACTGCACTGTCCCTTCATGTGATTGTAGAATTCGTCCAGTTAACTCTCATCCAATGTACATGTTAATGAGCAACAGTTCATGATATTGACTTTATTTTGCCACGCAGGTTGGAGATGAAGAATGGTCTTACGTGGTGATAAGATCCTTATTATTCTTGAAGGGGAATTTCCGTTACGGAGTTGTTAACTTTGTCGTACACCCATCCACTTCCTATTCCGCAGCCTTCGTAATCAAGGACCCTCGGCGGCTCAATCGTGAGGCTAGGTGCATATACCAGATGGCACAGATAGGGGTTTCATGAGGATCTGTAAGCTCCATATTTTTGTTTGCCTTCAGAGGCTCCGGAAAAGTATGGCAAGGTACCCGTGAGCATGGTCAAATCTTACGCCATATTTCGGCAAGTTTCCCGTGAGCATCATTCGCAGTACGAAACATTAAGTTAACAATTCCGTAATCACAGAAACGTTAAGGCAACATGTCGTAGGGTGAAGAGTACAGAGAGGCTGCAAAAGTGTCAAGCCATTGCAGGCCACTTAAATCTGGAAATGCTGTGACATGCAGTTGTAACAGTATTCTCTTAGATTGAATTGCCTATTGGGGATCAAATGGTTCAGGGCATGTAAACCTTTTACGAACTCAAATGACCAAGAAGAGAAGATATCATCAACTAAACCTCGTTTATTCTACAGGAAAGGAAATGCATTTTAGAATATGTGAAAGTAACGAAGTCGGCGGTGTTAGTAGTTGCCAACACAAGCATTGCTTTGAATATACGTGACTAAATAACCATAATTTTGCACTCTCCCATTGACCCAAATTAGATGCTCATAGGCTAAAAGTGCCGTCCAACGTCGATACTGATGATCTTTATGATGCAAGTCCCAAAATCTGTCGTCGATTCCAATAGCAATTGGTACCGATTTGCTAAGCAGGCACTTTACCTTCACCTATAGGTTGAAGGGCGCGTGTGGCGCAGTGGTTGGAGGCCCTACTGTGGCACACACGCAGAATCGATCCCCGCGCCCAAGACCCACCAAGCCCTCCATACCTCCGCGGTCGGCAAATTGGTACCACTCTTGTCTGGGAGGATAGCAGCACTAGCTCGATACATATTGATCAACCCTGAAGGCTTTTTATAGGTTACTATCTAAAAGTTATATGCCGTCTCACATCAACTTTTCTTGTCAAGAGTGGAACTTTATAAGGCTGAATCATGTCAATAATGATTAGTTGAACATTGGACTACTCATCATCGAAAGTAGCAGTGAAAAAAGTGGAGACAGGAAGTAGGAAGTGGAACGTCCTACGTTATTCAGTGAAGAATCGGAACGAAATGGATGGAAAGACGAGTACAGTAACTGTTAGTGGTGGTGGCGATTCTGAAACAGTCAGAAGTCGGTATTCTAATCATTTCAGTGTCTCGTAACCACTGCGCCTTCAACGACAGACAGTTTGTTGTGGAGAGATATTTTTTGCTTGGGTGAGCTACTGGTCTCTGACTTGAGATTGGAATTGGAACTTTTAGACTAAACAGTTAAGGGATTAGTGCAGTTCCAGTCGTGCGCTCGCATGTCATCCTATTGAGCTCTTATTATGAGGAGAGATAGACTTGAAGACTTGACAACCTCTTTTTCATCAGTAAAACAATGTAATATCTGATCGGAAGTATTAGTTTGTTTCAGAATATAGAGCCCTAGGAACTCACTCAAATTCGAACCCAGTTTTATGTCGACTTTGTCAGCCGGCTATAACGACGTGTATCAAAAAGATCATGGCTTATTTAGTATTTCTAAAAAAATTTTTGCCGATTTCAAAGAGAGAATCAGGTTTAATGCATTTACGGTTCATTTTTCATGGGTTCAATGTGAAACTCCTTTAATTCATCATATCTTCAATTGCTCTTAAAGTCAGTAGTGAGAGTGAACAGGAATATGGAGACTGCGGTAAGAACATGTGAAACAAGTTGCTCAAGTTAGACGGTAAGAGTGCTCCTGTTGAACTTGTAAAATCCACGCCACGTTCAATTTTCGCACGCTCTACCACTCAGGCTTCTTAGCTGTTCTTCATTTGACCTCGTTTGCGGATCGTGCTGGGCTATTGTTGTTGCGTGGTATGGCCATCCAAATGTGATTTTGTCTCCTTTTTCTCATCACATTTGTTGATGATTTGATGTAAACAAGACGTTTCCATCCTAATAGTTACCGTTTTACTTTGACGATCGGTATACATGTCATGTTTTGCACTTTCAGCACGAAGTGTGGCCCGCAACATATCCTTTATTTAATATTGCCGAAGTATGGCTCTTTTTGTCAGAAAAGCAAGTGCATTCGTCCAAAAGAGGGATATTCACAAGAACTCGGTAAGTTTGCGACATCTTTGAATGATACGTTGTCTTGCGAAAAAAACCTCAACTTTTTATGTGCGGCAGATTATCATTATCTTTACATTATCGGACACTTACTTCCTCTCTCAAGAGTTGGGCGGACCCCAGCATATATGCCATTCGTTCCTTTCTCTCGCAATCGTAGTCCATGGTGGTGATTTTGTTCAAAGATGGCAGCGCTTGCGAGCCTTATACCGTGATAGGCAAAATAACTGCAGCTGTGGGTACAGCTGATTAACTTTGTTTACGAACACGTCCGCCCAACGTGTAGGCGGTCGTCCAAGGAGACGTTTGCATTCTCTTGGAGTCCACTCTACTGTTCTTTTCGTCCATCTGTCGTCGGCTCTTCTCATTATGTGACCGGCCCATCTATGTTTCGCTTGATGTATATTCTCCTGAATCTCGAAGATGTAACAGATTTCTAAGATCGACGCGTCGCTTTCCGGCTGGATATTGGGAGTTTGGCTATGATTTAGAAGACACCGCTCAAGCGTTTTGTTTCGTGTTCATCGCTCCTTACTCTTACTCATTAACGGATAAACTTTGCAAAATTTCACCATGATTTTGTAGGAACAACTAAACAAGCTCGGGATGTGAATTCATTTATATGTGATTCACTTTCAATATATTGCGACATCGAAAAATTTCTGGAATAGTTTTCTCTGGGAAGTCTAACGTTTTAGGCAATGGCAAACCATGTTCAAAACTGCATAGCAAGGCAGCATTACAGAACAACATAAGCTATGTGTTTAGTGGGCTGCCATATTTCCTGATGACATTGGGAACATCTCTCGGCCTGCCATGTCTATGTCGAGATGTATCTATATTGCGTTCTGCCACATTCTAGCCAGTCAAAGATTGCTCCAACACAGCGTTTTCAAGAAAAGAACGATGGATGGCGAGTTCTATGGAAATCGGTTTTATTTTATCACCTATGTAGAAAAAGAAGTCTGAAGAAATCCGCTGAAAATTTATATGTACCTAAATTTTCATGACTTAAAATCTGCATACCTCTCGCGTAACTTCTGCTGGATTGTTATATAAGCCAACGTGTTGCTACACGTCACAATAGCGAAAACATGAAAAAGTATAGCCGCGATACAAAAATAAGTGATGACAGGTGCATATAACTCATCCTACTTCTCTCAACATTTCAGTTCCGAAGAGATGAATGTTTCCGGTCGCGATTAATGCCTAATTTTTTTTAAAAGGAATTTGCAGGTGAACTTTGGGCATACGTGATCAATACGTCTGAAATTTTGGGAGCCCGCCTCGTGCAAAATTTCAAAGGGGTCACGGAGGCTGTTCAACAGCGTTACCTTCGTGAACTAATGCTCGTTGTCAGCGCCAGGAATGAAGAATAGAGTGATGCCATTGAAGTATACACTTGGAGAATGCGTTACGATGTTGACGGTGAACCACAAGCGGAATTGAACCAGTATGTTTTTGAAAACTGTTTCTTGTAGCTGAAAAAGTGACTAAATCACTATTCCAGGCCCGACGGCACTGTAATGGCAGCTCTTCGATTCAGAGGTGTACAGCACTTGAAAAGGCAGACAAAAGAGCTTCTGCTTTTGCTAAGGACATTATGTCGAGACATGCCAACTCCATTGCCAGTTGGGGCGTCAGCTGCTATTCGCATAACATACACAGACAGTTCGTTAGTTGTTTATTGAAACCGAGCATACTAACCTGGTATACGCTATCTAATTTTGTAATAGACATAATCATAGTGTGTTCGTCAAAATACAGGGACTCCGAAAGGGTATCAGGCACCAGGCTTCTACCGTTCTCCCGAAGATCCTGTTCTTCGTCCGGATGCGCGGCTTATAAAAGTGTCTACATTGGAAACCAAATATCATTGGTAAGCAGCTGTGTTTTTGCAATTCTTCTATTTTGTTGGTGTTTCGAAAGTTTCACTACAATTTTTAGAGCCTCTGTCGTAGCGCGAATTGTGTTTACTGACGAACTGGACGATGGAGATGGTAACGATGCCTAAGTGTAGTTAGAGGGAGAACTGTCGTTATGTTCTTTTTCACCTGAACTAGTCTACAATTGATATTTTAGTTGCCCGAGAAGCCTTGCACAGTAATAGTTTTTATACTCCGTACAGTTGTATCGGTGAAGCGTTATACATCAACTTCACAATCAGAATTGTAGAATTTAATACGGTACTCTCTGCTTGAAGAAAGGCCCTGGCAAAGTACTTAATCAGCAAATCTGGTTAATACCAGCATGTGGAGACATGTATATCATAAAGAAAAGAGTGAATCCGATAGTACTGAGCTAGATCATCTTCGTTTTCTGATTAATCGCACTTCTAACATCAGTTGTGGACTAGACGAATCATGAACACAAAATTTTACCAATCAAGTTTCTTTTCACTAATTTCTTCAGATTTTCGCTCATGATTTCTGCTTCTGTGTTCACTTTGTCAGCTGCACCACCGCCCGTCAATGTATGTCTAACGGCGTCTTCAATCCTCAATTTTGGAAGAAGCAGAAGACCAGCCATTGTTTTATTTTAGCCAAAATTATATAATATTTTATTTTGAACGTTATTTTCTTGTAATTTTGGTCCATATTATGTAACTTCACAGATGTCTTACATGTAAAGGCTGTGTGAAGGGTTTTCATTTTCGTCAACAAACCAACCAGTAGTTGGGTTGTTGTTTTCTATTACTCTCCTTTCAGTTATCTGCGAAAAATGTTTTGATAAATGTTGTTTGTTGCGTTCGAATTTGAATCTGGATGTGAGAAATTGGTGAAATACCAATATAGTTTTTCTTAGTGCCCTATTTAAAGGCCCATATGGGTTGCAACACGTGGTGATGAAGTTATTCAGATTATAGAGAGTCTATGGGGAATCATGTACAGGAAATATGAAGAGTATGGGTGTTCCTAGGTAATAAGAAGATGGACGAGAAAGAACAAGGAGATTAATTTCGTTAGTTTTGTTGTGCCCTTGCTTACTTGGTAAACCAACTTTCTAAGTGAAATTTTACCACTAAATTGAGTCGCTATTTAAGCTATGGTTCTTCATTGAGTAGTGGGTTCCAAGCTCATAGAGGATGTTGCGCGCCGTTATTTCGCCGGAAAACGGTGTAGTGACTACCCGCGTGGAATTCCGTAGTTGGCGCCAGTTGTCGGTTTTGAATAATCACTCGACTTTCTATGATTTTAGCACACAGAACTCAGCCGGCGAGCAAGCCTGAAACAAGGCTAATTGAAGAGTTATAGCAATAATAATCCCACAATAACGATGTGCTAGTACCGGTACAATACATTCAACAAGCGATAACAAGGATGAGCAGACGTGGGCACAACACATGAGACAAGAGAGCAGCTCTGCCACAGCGTGGTGGGGCTCCTCTCTTGTCTCGGCTGCCCAACAACAAGTACCGTTGACGAAAATGCTTCATCTTCGCACTCACTTCCCTTCCAAGATGGTAGAGAGTCATCTCCTATGAAGGGCCCTTTTTTCTACGTTTTTAAACGTTTCACCGTAGTCAATAAAGAATAGTAAATCCGTCAGACTTTTAATAGATTGACGACGGCCTTGACGTTGTTTATTTAGTTCGGCTTCATCAGCGGCACTTTAAGGATCGTGGAAACCTCCTAGAGTACTGCTGACAAGCACACAAGACACTAGTCAACGTAATTCCTTCAATTTCCACTTAAAGACAACATTCTTTAAAAAATAACCAATGTTATCTACCGATTCTCGAGCCCAGCCTAGAATAATGCTAACTATGTCTCACACTCCTCTATTATCAGATCGAACCAACGATCAACAATCTGGAAATGAGCGAAAATTGCCCCGTTGTCACGTTGAATAGTGTTTTCGGACACCAAAATAGTTTCTAGCGAATCATATGCTGATGGATGGGTAAGATTGTCTCAGAATTCGAAGAACGTATTCTGATCGAAGAAAGGTTTGCCTCTTTGTAAGAATTCTTCCATCAGAATGACAATAATTCCAAGTATACGTTTACCTTCAATCTAGATCCTTTAATCATCTAGAAAAAAGGTTCAGCAGCGGCACTCTACGGGACAACTCACCCAACAACGTTCACTAGCCTCATTAAGTCAAGAGAAGAAGCCATCGAAGAGGAGCTGTTGAGGGAGATGGCAAATAACTCGTCGAATGCCAAAGCACGTAAGTAATTTTGAACGAGTCTCTGATCTTTTCGAAAAGATTCCAATTTTGCTTGCACTAGTAAAAGAAGAACACTATCGTTTTGCTAGTGCTAATGATTTTGTTAATGATTTCGATCCTATTTATTGAAAAACAACTACACTACTACCTCTAACGTATGTTGCAAATTTCAGAGTGATGGGCAAGCAAGTGATGTGTTAGTTGCTAAAACTACGCCTCGGATGACATTCTCGTTAGACACATCAGACGTACTGGTTTGAAATTGAGGATCCGAGCTTCCAAAAAAGTGAAATACTCTGATGTTTGAAGTGGTAAGAGGCGTCCCGTAGTAGGCATTTGCTCAAGGATTCAACTGCTAAGCCCCAGAAAAACTAAGCCCGCCATCACACCAAAATCCAAAAAATGGCGCCAAACTACTCTAAGAGAACAAATACGCTGACTTCACAGTACATACGCAGGTCCCTACAAGTTATAGATTGGACCGCTAATGGATTCACTCAGCTCTACGATGTAAATGGATTCGAACGTATAGCGCATTCCTCAGAGATTGATCAACTCCGAACGATTTGTTCCTTCTTCACTCTATTATAATAGTTATATAGTACATTACAAGTTTTTCAAGCAAAATTAATACGAACATGACTTGTCGCCAGTATTTATAAAAGTAAGATAAGATATTTTCATTAAGAAGAGGCTTAATTTTTTGGGGAGCGATGAACTACTTATTGAAGAAATTATAACACAGAAAGCATTTGCAGGCATTGGTCTTTAACTGATCGAATGACTTCACCGAAACAGTTATCCGGCTGTTTTCATTCGTCTTCGAGGTTTCATTTTTTTTGTCCTTTCGTCATTTCCATTGATTTTCCTATCTCATGATTTCCTTCTCACTCATCACCTAAAAGAGTCAGCCAATCTGAAATTAATTCTGTAGAGGATGTAGATAACGTACTCCAGTTAAGAGCATAATAAAGAATTAGAAATGAAATACAACTCAACATATTTAAATAATCATATTCCTATCATAACTCCATACACAAGGCGATGAACAATGGTATGTCCAAAAGCAATGTAATGTTGAATAAAAGCTTTGAAACCTTTTTAAGTGATGAATAAAGAAGAAATAGGAGATAACAAGGAGATTCGTGAAAGTCCCAATCAAAACAACCGCATCCTAAGTAGAGCTTTCTTCTTCTCCTTCCGCGAGGTCTTCCATGAGATCCCTCCCAAATTGTTCCACTAGCCTACTGATAATGATGTATGCATTGGTTGCCAAGGTTCAGAACTGCTCTGTGAAACTTTTTCTATTTGAGTAGACTTTTTAATACGTACACATAAAACAAAAGTCAACAAATTTTGTAGAAACTTCACTAGATTCTAATTAGTTTATGGGATTCCTCGGACCACATATTATGAATAAGCGTCGTGAGCATAAAGTCACCGTGATAGAATGAAAAGATATTCTTAAACATCCACCAAATATTCTCCATTCTGCTACCATACAGATTCACTTTCGCATTCGTTGGCTCCAGCATATTTTTTCCTCCCAAAGGTTTACTGCTTCATCGTGGCCGGGAGGTGTTCCTGGGTGTCGGGCTGCGATGTACAGCGGGAGGATTCATCTCTTGGCAGGGTCTCCCAAGCTGAGGAGTCCGGCGTTTTTATTAGGAACCTTATCTAAGAGTAAACCAATACCAGCATCCACCACGGTCCTGTTATCAAACTACTCGCATGGTGGTGGCAAACCTCTCTCTGATCCACAAGGGCTGCCACTGCCTGTGGTGGTGAGGACTTGGGGTAGACTTTGGCCAAGCTGACCTCGGAGTTCCAGGAAACCACAATGGCTTAACCATCAAATCTCCGAAAAAGTGGAAAATATGTTTAGGCCCGCACAATCAGTGAGGACAGGTCAACCAAATAAACAAGTACTCAAGTAACCAAGTATCCCACGGAACGGGGCATGTGTAGCATAGTGGCTAGAGGCGGTCTTCAATGCACATGGGGTCGATCCTGCGCTCCAGACTCACCTACGAAGTTGGTATAAAAGTTTTATTCGACGCATTATCCGAAGTAAATTAAGAGGGGAAACTGCAGTACAGAAACATCCGAAAGGGCCCCACTGAGCGAAGTTCCTCATTCGAGGGGTGCTCCCTACACTGAATTCGACTCGATGCCATAAGCAACACGCCCATCGCGACAACTACGAGGCGTAAATCACCGGCTTGGATCATTCCGGTTCTGAAAACGACCAAGACTCTGAAACGCCAGCCGAATAAAGCTTTTACCCTCAACTAACAAACTTTTAACTTGAACCTTCAACCATTAATCACGTTCCGTCTCTGCTATTTTGCCGACTTCTAGTAGATTAGCCACGATAAGACGACACTACAGATAATTTCACGATTTTTCTAACACTAAATTGCGCCAAATTTCGACTTGTGTTGCCTTTAATCTGAAGTGCAATGTACAGTTACAGTAACATGACACAAGGTAACAACTTCACCGTCTCAGCGTATTGGGCGGGAATCCATGCGCAATTGCAAAGTCATTAAGAATTTGCTGCTGTCATGAAATGTTATCGCGAAGGGATACAGGCAAAGGGTTGTAGAAATACCGTCGCATACTCAAGTAAAAATCAGAAGCAAATAGGATGCCCTTACGAACACTTCTTGGAATTTAAACATTTTGTTGAGTTCCCAACTCACTCTCTGTCGGCGAAAAATTCGGGATATCAATGGTGTAGAGTTATAGTGAGCGCTTTTAATATGAAGGACTTGCTACGTTTCCGTACTTATCCTTCAAAATCTTTGGCGTTCCTTTTCTCGTCTCTATATTCTACAAACCATTGAGCACTGCATATCTACACTATCCGCAACGCGTATGAAATACGTGAGTAAACGATAAAGAACGAAGTTATTGGAATTTGTCAATAGATGAGGGATGTGTTCTGCATTCGACTTCATCAGGCAACATTTTCTTTTTTTCGAAAAGCCACTCGTCAACCAAACATCTCCGTTGATGACTAGTATTACACCAAATCGGTCATAAGAAGCGTAAAAAAGAAAAGCCAATTGTTTTGTCGTTCACCATCAGTATTCGACTTAGTAACAACATCTTTATATTCTTTAAGAACACCAATAACAACAATATGAACGCAGTATATGCACTATATCACACTAAAAAAAAAATCTTTGATCGGCCTACCCATTTAATAAAAAGGCTTAGAAAAGGCAGTGTTTAAGGTGCAGGTAAATTTCGGTAAAAGTAGCAGCTAGAAAAACTCATTGAAAACGTGAAAAGAGAAACAAAATCAACTGCGCCACTCAATGGACAGCAGATCATCCATAAATCTATTAACGATAGAAGCAACAAAAACTCACCTAAACAGTCTAATCTAATGTTAAACTTCTGCAATACATCTTGCTATTCGAGGTGATGCAACCAATGACTAGAACTATAAAATACCTAAATAACCCGACTTAATAAGTGGTGCAGGTCCTAGTAGCTCGTCCATTATTGTCTGGTAAGTGCCATCAGTGAAGGTTGTTAGATTCCCATGAGGACGCAGGTTGATCTTCTGAAAGTTCCAGATATAAATAAACATTTGTTAACTACAACAACTTTGCAGCCTCACTGGAGGTACGAGTGTAATATTGAGTGCACTAGCCCATCTTAAAGAAAAATTGCTCGGGCGCTCTGTGCATGAGCCACAGTACAAATTAGCTTCGCGAATACAAAAAGATCCTTTATTCAAAACTGTCTTCGTAAGACACCACGCTTACTTTAAACTAAGTTAGATCAGTCCTAAACGACTGACAGACGCCGAAATTTGCATCAGTTATCACATTTGTTGAAAAATATCGGCAATTAACAAAAATCCAGACCTTAGGAGGAGAGGGATTTTTTCTGTGCACTGCAGTTGTTTGGACTATTGATTTCGGTGTAAAGATTTTGCCATCTGTAGCCGGAAAAAAAGAGAATGAACCCGTAAGAGAGAGTGAAATGTTCAGTGAAATCTCTCATTGCATGGCACAACTGGAAAACCTCACTGCAGGAAGACCAACATGTGCATAGAAAGAAAACCACTGGACAAATCCGCAAAGAAAGGTTGAAAATATCACAAAAAAAAAACCCGTTAGATAAGCCGAAAAATAACTGTAGGAAATCTTGTAGAAGTTTACGTAAACACACCTCCTATAAGAAGCATGGTGAGAACGAGTCCAGCGTTACTACCAGATCCCAGCACAAGAGAGAATCAGGTAATGATAACGTATTACTTCAACATTTTATTAGTATAACACTGCTAGAGAATCCTACTTGTTTTGTTGGAAAACATCAGCTATGCTTTCCACTGTTAGAGTGCTGTCAAGAACGCTAAGCAGGTCTTATTGTCAGATAAGACTGTTTCGTCCGAGAAGCGAAAGGCAAGCCATACGCGCGCTCTTTTTTCGCAGCTCGAGTAAGACCATACCTCGGAGAAGAAAGCAATCCTGACAAGTAGAAGATTTCGCAGCTGAACGTCCTAACAAGGAAAGATAACGGAGTAGATCTTCATAACTACTGAATCATCTGCACACAACGAGGCCTTCGCGAACTTTATCCTACTCAATACTAGATTAAGGCCAACTCAATTAAATGGCCATTGAGAAACCAATTTACTAAGCAAGATGGAATAGCCACTCTTCTCTACACGCTAAATCCGAACTAGACGTTAAATTTTGGTAGGAGTATCACACACCAATCCTTTCAATCTTCGCAGACTAGGAAGGAGCGTTTCGCAGTATGAAGACCAATACACTCTCCGAATTCGATAATAAGAAAATTTGTTTTTCTCAAAAAACAAGACCATCATGACGACTGCTTTGAGAGTTCGCCATGATGTCGATTTCTCTCAATACACTGGAAGCAAAGTATTTCAAACAATATTAAGTGATTTCGATGTATTTCTAACATTTTTTGCTGCACAAACTTCTTTCACGACATTTTTGCCCTGCAAGCAGTTTTCTCACCGAAGACGCATACCGTAGCGCTCGAGAAGAGCGATTTTCTGCGCACTTACGGCCTCGATAAGATTGGTCTACCATCTGCGGATTATACTTCATTGTTTTCAAGAAAAAAGTGTTCACAAACCTCTCTCGCAGATACTTTTCAAGAAAATTTCCGATAGCGTGGGGAAGTGATCCATGGAGGTGATGAAGTGAAGCGTTCTCCTAAATGGCAATTCTTTACAGGAGACTTCACGTTTTCAAGAAAGTTGTTGAAGTGCTTCAGGCAACAATCTTGTCTTGAAGAGTTCTTACAGAATTAGCCCTTTTTAAAAAATTAATTTAAATTTTACGCTAGGAAGAATAGATTTCCATGAAATTCAATATAAAACGCCCTTCATTTACCTCATTTTATCCTGAAGAACGGTGACATCTCGAACTGATCTTCCTGGATTTTGCTCATCAATTGGATCGCGTATGAAAACAGAACTTCCTCTGTCATCTGTTGCTCCATCATCGTCAGCACTTCTGGCTCTGTTTTCGAAAACAGTGTAGTAAAACATGCTGCGAAAGGTTGGTTTAGCTACGTGAATACCAAAGAATGGCATCTCAAAACCATTCACCTCCGTTTCACAGCGGCATCACGCATACAGATGTAGTAACGGTCAAAATTGAAGTTGCAGTAATAGTCCAAGAACAACACGAACAATTGTGCCACCGACAGACTATTTTTCTCAATCACTGGAAATAAAAGCGATTCGTAGAAACAAGCTTTAGTACGGATTAGCTTTAATACATTTGATGAATTAAGTCGCAGCATACAAAACATTGAAATTCACATACATTCACTCTGAAACATTCAACGAGCGGATAGCACAGTGGTAGTGATGTCGATCATCAAGAGCATGGTGATAAATCGACTCCGCTCCGTGCCAGCCAGGCCTCCCATCCCTCCGGGGTCGGGAAATTGGTACTGGACCTGTTTGGGAAAAAGCAACTATCTGCAATCCAATTGGGAACGCTCCAGCCCTGCTATCTCAGGACTTCAGGGAGAATTGCTCGACCAGCATTCTACGGCATTAAAAATGAAATGAAAATTGTCAAGTAGCAATCGAATCCACACGTAAAAGTTAGATCTTTGTGGACAATGGATGCGAAGAAACGAATCAAATGTGAGAAGTGCTGGGACCCGCACAGTAGACACGAAGACGGGTTATATAAAAAAATAAATAAGTAAAAATACACTTTGGAACATTTGTCTAAATTGTTTCAGGGAAAGAGAAAAAATAATGCAAACCTGGAGAATCGGCCAGAAACTCCTCGTCGTTAAAATCGAGAACCATGGGGTATCGAATTTCACCATTCACGTTTCGAGCATACTTTTCTAAAACAACGTGGAAACAACGGTTTTCTGTAAGCAGACGAATAAGAAAAAAGACAGAAGTACAGTCATAAAATGTGAAGGCATTAGTGCACCTAAGATTAAAATACGAGCGATTAATTTCAGATGAAGGAAAGCACGCTGATTGGATAGATGTTCTGCTGAAGCGCGTTCAAAAGATATCCTACCTGGAAAAAGCCTTTGCAGATTCGGTAAGATCGGGGGACAGGCGCTGCATTGGAGGAAATGAATGACCATAAGAACTATTGCATAACTAAAAACACTGCGAAGAGTCATTCGAATATTTCAGATATTATTCTGAGAGGGGCACATTACGCTTACACGTAAACTCTGTGGAGTTGGTCTCCACGTGACATATTCAGTGGGATACTCATAGAAAGCGGTGAGTGTGCAAAGAAGCTATTCTGTGTTCAATGTGATTGAAATGTTGGCTTATCATTTTCTCTGTTTGGTTATAGAGGTGTTTGGCCCAGTAGATTGCAGTCAACTTGACCTTTCTAGGCCCTGAAGAAGGTGAAATCCGCCGAAACGTAAGCTTGTGCGGAAATAAGGAATTAAAATAACACCTCGTGTTTTCTAAACAAGATTATAAAGAACAAACATTTCGATTTACATGTCCTCTAAACAGAATATATGAAAAATGTTCTTCTACGAATGAAACCCGAATTAGGAGAATAAAACGGTGTTTAAGATTTCCAGAAACATCATTAACAGCACCTAGTGAATCCTCCATTACTTGAATTTTCAACACCGCTACATGCCGCCCACTCCTTTACCAACATATAAAGTGATGCAAACCGTGAATCCCACCTGAAACACTTATGTTTTGGAATGACTTGCGATACACCACTGTAAGGTGATTTCAGCCACACGATGTTTCTGCCGCAATTAACCCACAGTCACTTAATCGTGAGGCCACGTGCATTCATCAAACGGCACAGATAGGGGTTTAATGAGGACCGATAGGCGCCATGCACTTGTTACCTCTAAAGTGGCCCGGAAAAATATGGCAAGGTACCCACGATTATAACCAAATCTTACGCCATGTTTCAGTAAGGTTCCCGTGAGCATCAGTCGCAGTACGAAACATTATGTTAACACCCACGACCGACTTTCTATTAACCTCGGCATTGATCAAGTCGTATTTTTGTTGAGCAAACGCGAGGTGTTATTGTTCTTTATTCACGAATAAGCTGACGTTTCGGCAGATTTCGCCTTCCTCAGAGCCTGGAAAGGTCAAGTTGACCGCAACCTATTCGGCCAAAGACCTCCATAACCAAACAGAGAAAACGCTGAACCAAGATTTCAATAACATTTAGCATAGCTCTGCACACTCACCGCTTTCTATGAGGTTTCCACTAAGTATGTCACGTAGAGACCAACCGCACAGAAATCACACGGAAGTATAATGTGCCCTTCCCATCAGAATAGCAGTCTTATAAACTGCCCTATATCACGCGTGATAATGAGGCATTCTTCCCTGCGGTTCATTTTCGGATTTCTGGAAATGATCCAGAGCGCCTCGAGAGTTTTTCGCGCCTGTGTTCTTGATTCGCGTGCGAGGATCGTGACACATACTCCAAAGACATCCCCGTTATGTCTCTGCGTCCTATGCGTGCCTAGCGGTGTATTTGGTCTGTTTGCTGGCTAGGTGTTCTTTTATGCGGACACAGAGGAGTCTACCCGTTTTGCCAATGTATTCGTCACCGCACGTCTTACAGGAGATCAGGTAAACTATACCCGAGCTCATGCAATCATCGTCTCTACCACTGGGGCAAATAATGCAATTTTGGGTTGCACATAGACGGTCATAAAGGTGGTTACGAACTAGCTGGCGCTTAAGATTACTCGGTGGTATTTCAACTACGCTTACCGAATTCTCTAAGCCCGCCCTTCTCAAGCAGCGTTTTATAGCCGTACTTATATCATTTGAGATGAAGGGTAGGATAAAGGGGACCCTTCTATCGCTAGAGTTGCCGTTTGGAGGCCTACGATTTCCTCTACACCTATCCTGAGCTATAGTTTCGTAGCCATTAGAAATGGCTATTTGCCGTGCCAAGTTCCGGGACTCCTCTCTCTGCTCTCTTCCCGTGCATATACTATACTCTAACTGTGCGTATAACAATTCGAAACATTTGTCCATTTCCTCTTGTGTTGAGCAAAGGACAAAGCAGTCGTCTACATACCTACAGTAGAGTAGCGGCCCGAGATCAGTCACCGGTGCTTCCACCTTAGACATAAATGCAATGGCAAGGCTTGGAGCCAGTCGTTGTCCCATTGCCAACCCTCTTATTCGAGCGTAGTACTTTCCAGACCATCTGAAGATTGAGCAGCTCAAGCATTCTTTTAAGAGTGCCATCAGGTGGCTCTATCTTGAAGCCATACATGTTTATTTCTCCTTCGTGTTGTGTAAGGAGTTCGAATAAGGCTTGCATTGCGGAGTCATTAGACACGTTTGTATAAAGGGCGGTAACGTCGAAGGACTCCATCACGCACGCGTTGTTGGGCTGCGCAGTACGTAGACGATCCAGAAACATCTGGGTATTCGTAAGATGGGCTGGAATGTGTTTAAACAACTGGTTAAATATGAGGGTTAAAAACCATGTTATCCTGTCCGTTGGCCCGTCTACGCAGCTAATGATAGGTTTAACTTTAAATAGTGATGGATCGGTAGACGCAAGATCACCGCTGGATCCTAACTTATGAGTTTTTATAAGTACAAGACGGGGCATGTTGGTAAGTCAACTTTAAGTTGAGAGATAACTGATGGTTTTAAGCCATCAGTTTTTCAGTTTTTTGCTCAACAAAAATACGAAGAAAATTACTTGATCAATGCCGAGGTTAATAGAAAGTCGGTCGTGGCAGTTACTGCAAGATGTACCAGCAAGATACTTCTGACTTGTAAAAGAAGCGCTGTCACAGAGACGAAAGACCGTCTTAGCTCGACAGTCAATACACTTTCTCCGCCGCTGTCTAAAACATCAAGTCTTTCCGAACTTCATCAAACGAAGACGACTACACGACGTATGCGGTCTACCAGAGGACAGTCACCGAGTATTGGACGTCGAATTGCGAATACTACGCACCTGTCTGCGAAGCCGACAAAACCAGATGTTCGCCAAGTGGAAGAAGTGCGAGACGAAGGAAAACTTTTGTGCTAAATATTTGGAGGACCACCTCTGGAGGAGAATAGTGGGCGGCTCAGTGTTGATTTGCAACTCTATTAGGTCTAATGCTAAAGTAGCTTTGCGGAGAAAATTCGAAGACCTTTGGAGTAAATCACATAACACAGCTTCAATAGCGCACAAAAATATCGCTAAAGAGCATCAAACAGATCACATTAGAATGGGTAATGTACAAGAAAATTCAAGGCTAACCGTGTTAGGATGCATAACTCTCCCTGACGGTGCGCGCTCGTTATTAGAATTGAGGCCGAGTTTCTCACCATCTGAACCCATTTCTAAGATAACCTTGCGTAGGGTCGCATGTGGTTTACATGAACTTCAAGATAGACTCCGCAAAAAAGCTAGAGATGAAGCGCTAAATAGGTGCGATAACAACATCAAGTGGGGGCCCTACCAATAGCACCATTTCCCCCAATGTTCTTTAGACAACAAGAGCCCAATAATGAAGTTGATGTTAAATTTCGGATGTTTGCGAATGAAACTCTCAAAGTCCTTAATCACTATCGTGCGAAAAGATACAGCTCAAACCTCACTACAGTGCAAAAACGTGGTATGCGAGAGGTACGAGACCTGATAAGGTTGAAAACCATAAGACTTTCCGTTAGTGATAAGGGTGGAGAGTTTGTCGTAATTCCCCATCAGTTAGATGTGGAGATAACGAAAAAGCATCTTGAAGATGCTTCGCTTTATCGCCCATCATCTGAGAAGGAATTCAAAAGTAAATACCGAAAACTAAACCACGAATGGGCCAAAATGACAAGGCCTGCTGGTTTAAAACCATCAGTTATCTCTCAACTTAAAGTTGACTTACCAACAAGCCCCGTCTTGTACTTATAAAAACTCATAAGTTAGTATCCAGCGATGATCTTGCGTCTACCGATCCATCACTATTTAAAGTTAGACCTATCATTAGCTGCGTAGACGGGCCTGATGGGAGAGGCACAATATACTTCCATGTGATTTCTGTGCGGTTGGTGTCTACGAGACATACTTAGTGGAAACCTCATAGAAAGCGGCGAGTGAAAGGTGCAGAGCTATGCTAAATGTGATTGAAATCTTGGTTCAGCGTTTTCTCTGTTTGGTTATGGAGGTCTTTGGCCGAATAGGTTGCGGTCAACTTGACCTTTCCAGGCTCTGAGGAAGGCGAAATCTGCCGAAACGTCAGCTTATTCGTGAATAAAAAACAATAACACCTCGCGTTTGCTCAACAAAAATACGAAGAATTATGTTAACACTTCCATGACCAAAAAAAGTGCCAAAGTGTCAAGTTATTGTAGGCCGCTTAAAAGTGGAAGGACTATTATGTGTACTTGTAATAGTAGACTAATAGACTTGAATTCACTATCAAGGCCCAATTGGCTCAGAGTATGTAAAAATGACCTAGAAGAGAAGATATCCCCAACTAAGCGTTGCTTATATTACAGGAAAGGAAATACATTTTAGAACATGAGGAGGAAGTAGTGGACTTGGCGGTGTTGGCGTCTTTGTCAACACGAGCTTTGCTTTGAATATACGTGATTGAATAGCCATAACTTTGCACTGTTCCAATCGACCCAAATCAGATGCTCATGGTCCAAAAATGCAGCCCAGTGCCGATAGTGATGATTTTTACCAGGCAAGTCCCAAAATGAAATGAAATGAAGGAAAAAATAGGATAGATGCGTGAATTACATAACTATCCTTTTCAAATTTGGATACTTGTCGTAAAGCCCTTTCTACCAATGTTTGTTGATGTCGCTTCCTTCCCATTACATAATTCCTTTCATATCAGTAATAAAAATTCAGCATGCGCATTACCTAATAAGAAGATTTCCCCACGAGGGGTGATGGATAATGATTTCCCAAAACGTCTCATAAGTTCTAAAAAGTTACACGGATCAAGTACAATGTATCCAGAACAGTAAAACCCTATAACCTAGCGGCGGTGTTGAAGATTTTTAGTGTCTAATTTCTGGCCAATAAGATTAGGTAAATATTAGCTGATGTAGTAAGATAAACGTAGAACAGGTAAATAACTCGCATTGTCTGTGTTGTAGTGGCAACATACTTACAATACAAATCCACGAATAAGGTAGCTCTTTTGAATTCCTGATGCATATGACCCTGTGCAACAACTGAGATTAATATTTGGCCCCTTCACAAAGATGATCTTCACCATCGGAACCTGAAATGGCGAAGGAAATGAAACTAACTTCGCGACTGCAAGTGGTGTGCAAAAAGCCTAACCTCGGCCTCCACATATCGCACGTTTTCAATTTGTTCATAAATCGGATCAGTAGCCAAAAAGTGCCGCACGTTCGTCAAAATGTTGCAAGCGGCTCTAGAATATATTAGGCTTATTGGAGCCTTAGTTATTCAGTATACACTCCAAATAATGTTGTGTAATGTTGAACGTGATGGCAGAAGGACGTATTTAGGTGTCAAAGTTTATAGTAGGTACCTACAAGGACCACGAACTTCAGAATTTCCACTCATTCACACGCTATTTTTAGATAGAGCCGTCAAAGCACGTTTCTGTTAATCCCAAGAAGAGCTGAATCTGACTCCTTCGAAGGTCCTTCGCCCAAATTACACGAGTAGGAAAACGAAGACAATATTTTGACTTTTCACATCTATGCGTTTTGACTTTAATGTGTTCGTGATTGCATGGCACAGACCGTATATCAAGATTTCGATGCGTACGCTTTTTTTCCGGGCCTTTTTCTACAAAGAGCTCTTTTGCCAGAGTTTTTGCAGGTAATTGATAGCTTGTGGAAGACAGATTTTACATCGCTGCAGGTCAGTGAAAACGTGCATCCAACGCTTTATTCTAGGGGAAGAGCCACGGTGGAATGTAAACGGTGGATTTTTTTTAGAAAAGTGAAAGAGGCAGAAATATACGCAAAACGACTTGGAAAGCTTGTAACGTTGTGGGTAGACAAAAAAAGATAGTAGTTAAACTTTATTCAGTTTTTTAGCCTGCATATATGCCAACGTTGTTATCTGTTGCTTGTTTTTACCTACATTTATCCAAATGCTCTGACTTCTTTTTTCTATTTCTATTTAGGCAACTGACATAGTTTCACGTCCTCAAGATCCTGTCTCCTCTCAAAGCAAGAATGTTGAATGGCTTTCCTATTTCTCTTTCCTTGTGGTTTAACTTAAAAAGTTTTGTCTTGATAATTTTAACATTTTACAAAGTCAAGACGAAGGAACCGCATGGCGTTGTGGTGCACAAGTTAGGCCACATAAAGTGTAATAGCGGGTTTGATCTCCACCACAAACACCTGTGGTCCGAAGTATTGCAAATATCTAGGAATCATTTTGGTTATGTCCAATATTTTGCACTCTGATGGCAGAGACACGTAGAAAATTAACTGATAGAAACGCAGAGCAAAGGCCTCCGTTCTGCAGTGTGTAAATGCGCGAGCCCACGAAAAGGGGCTGGTTCGATCTAAGCTATTCCGCATCATACTCTGCCGTTAAAAATTATTCTAGGCGGCAAATAAGAAGTTAGCATTGTGATTCCAACTACAACCTCAGCTTAACCGGGTTCATCGCCAATTTGAGCTCCCCAGATCAATCCCGTTAACGGGTGTTTGCTGAGGCCATTGATCGATAGAAGTAGCTGAGAGAGAGGTGAAACGAACGACGTGCATAGTGTGGTGGTGAACGCGTCAGACCCCGGAAAGGGTAATAGCGCGTTCGTTCTACACCGCATACACCTGCGGTCCGGAGCTTTGCAAATATCTCAGCATCATTGTGGTTGTGAAAGGTCAATATTCTAACATTTTACAACCACAATGTTGCTGAGATATTTGCAAAACTCTGGACCGCAGGTGTCTATGGTGGGGAACGAACGCGCTATTATCCTTTCC